CTCCCGTTCATGATCTAGCCTTTCCTGTTTTCCTCCATCCTCTGTCACAGCTCTGCCATCCTTTTCCAAATGCACAGGTTCCTTGCTTTTAACAGCTTTCGTATTTTCCCTCTCCCGAACTTCCTTTGCATGCCTAAATTTAGCTTCTGCTTTATCCATAGCCACTTTCATCGCTGCAGCAGCAGAGTTCATCTCTAATTCTTTATCAGCAAGACCATTTCCACGTTCATTGTCATTACCAAGACTCCTGCCCGTGGCAAAATCTTCAAGTTCATCAAACTGAAATGCAAAAGATAATTTGGCTGCAGCAGGAGTAGATTTAGGACCCTGAGAAAAATGAGTGGAACTTGGGAAAGAAGAAAATTCACTATCCTTTCTGACATTGGCAGAAGCAGATGAACCTCCTGCTGACTTGAGGTTATGTACTGGTCGGGGAGGAGGAGGTCTTGAAGGTGGTGGAGCAGCAGTTGGCTGAGTAAAAAGAGGAACCTCTGATACCGTCAGCCATATATCATCATTTGATTCAAATTCCTCTTCATATTTAGGATTCATATCTGCCTGGGCATTAGCCGGTTTAAAACCATCATTATCAAGTGAAGGGGACCTTTCGCCAAATGGTTTGTAAGAATTGGAGGAATATGTAGGCATGTCAAATGCAGCCTGATGAAATTCCTGATCATTATCAACAAGAATCTTGTTTTGTGTTTGTCTCTCAGGACTCCTCACAGATGATACACCACTTGATTCTTTATCACTGGTTGTATTTGGGGAGCTACTACCCTTTGTGCTATTTCTCTCTGCTGAGAATGCAGGCACAGAATTTCCAAGTGCACCAAAGGGATTAATATCATCATATACTTCACCATTAGAATTTGACAAACTATCATTTTTTGTGCTTCTAGAACTGCTAAATTTACTAATTTCTCCCAATGGGTCTGTAAAGTATTTTGAGGATGAATCCATTGAGGCTGAAGTTGGTTCAAACACTTTGAAAGGGTCATCTGTTTCACCAGAAGCCTTTTTAGAAGAATTGATAGTAGGTTGTGATGACAAATCAATATTAGGAAGGGTCCTGTGAATAAAACAATATTCAAAAACGATTACAATGCATCAAGAATATGTAAAGATACGGGATTGTGTTGTCCCTTCTATTATGCTCATTCCCTTCACGTCCATTTATCCAAATGAGATGCCAAGCTAGTAACAATAAATTCATAAGATCTATGCTCACTCCTTCATTAGACCTGATCCCATCAGGAACCAGACAAAATGAAGGATCAACTTCCAAGATAAAAATGCACAGCAGAGGAAACTTATTACCAGATATCCAAGTTTACCATTGAAATCGTCACCCTTGAGAAATAAAAAAAAGAAAACTGAGCCTTTTAGGAGAGAGGGGAAGGGGCAGTTACTTAGGACAGTTAGATTGTCAGAATATATGGAAATATTTTACCGTACCTTATAATAGCCATAGATTATTCCCTAGAATAGTAACCATATTTCTTTATCTTATCATGGTTTGGTTCCCTAATTAGATAGAATTATATTATAATTAGTGAAATAATGGCTAGAGGAAACCAGTTAACTCTGAACTTGAGCTTTGCAGATAGACTTCACTTCAGAAACAAAGGGCTGTCACTAAGTCAGCGTAAGACAGAGTATGATAGCAACTTTAGCAAGATTGAGAGAAAATGACTTAGTAGTATAATAAATGGGAAAAATGTTATACCTCAGGTTTTAAGTTTAAATATTTGGGTTCGAATATTAAAAAATGATGGAGGGCGTAATGAAGATGTCACACATAAGAAATAAACAAAAATGGTTAACATGGACAAGGGCATCGAGGGTTAACTATGATTGCAAGGAACCAACCAGCTCAAATTCTTGTTATACTGCTGCGTGTTTGGCTATCTATACTCTAATATTGAATAGCAGGATTAGTAAAATTGAAAATGTTTCAAATGGACGAGTAGTCACAAAATAAAGGATAGGAAATGAAATAATTGTATACAAGTAATAAGGAGACACTGGTGATACTGACTAAAAAAAATAACAAAATATTTGAGGTGGATTGGAGTATTTTTGTTCTCAGATTCTGTTCAATCCTTTCAACCAATAAAATCAGTCTTCAGGTTCCTTCTTACATCCTAACAGAACTTAATCCTCCCAGAGTGTAAGGGTTCTAATAGAGATTTGGATGTTATGGGATGCCTGGGTCCCATCACCTAGTATGGATGCTCAGTTAAGTATTTAAGTATTTGGTTCTCCCCCCTTAATACCTAACTAGGTTCCCTCAGTGTTTGGATGCTTAGCAGGTTCTTAAACTTATGCAGTAATTTAAGTAAATGAATTTATATAAATCACTAATGCTCTATGTGTGAAAATGTTCTGACACAACCCAAGTTTGCCTACCTATAATACCCAATTTGAAAATGTCACGAAAATAAACCACGGAATAAAATAAGTTCATTGGTGGATCTCCCATTTTTCCTGAACTAATTTTTGAGCTTCATTCAACTGTCTACTTTAATGAATGAAGTCAGCAAGTATAACTAACTACACCTTACCTTTCAAACTATGTCGTGAACCCTTAAACGACAACTTGATAGATTACCGTAAAAAGTTGATATCATTCAAACAAATAACCTCAGCCTAATATTTCAAAATACAAAAGACATATAAAGTGTATTTAAGAGGATTAATGCACAACCGACAATCGTCAGCTCCTAGAAATAATACACCTGAGTCCTCATTGTCAAACAGATAGTCTGTGCAAATATAGAAGAAAAATACATAATCAGAAAAAAATAAATAAATATACCCGTTCCTCTCCAAATCAGTCCAGTAATATAGGCATACTTCAGAATATCTACTTCGATTTCAGGCAGTCAAAACGAATTGATAGCAATGTTCGTTCCTATCGGTAGATAAGTAGGCTTGTGAACTACGAGTCTAAATTCTTTTGCAATGAAGACCAGCAAACGAATATCACGGGCAGAGAACTTTTATACTCATGGGTGTGATCTCTAAGTTATGGAATAATTCTAAAGGATGAACTATGAAAAGACACTAGATGATATTCGGATATTCCACATATACACAAACAATCCAAAATCCACACCCAATTGTTTGTCTTCACTGCACAAGTTAATTTAAACACAATCCTAAGACCATTATTATTGTTCTTAAATTACTTAATTCACTAACGGAGCAAGCTAAGAACCAATATTTTTGCAAAAACACTTTTTATACTCCTCGGCATGTTATATTCAATTCAACTATTCATGAAAGAAGAACTTGAAATGAATTGAAACTCCCTCCCTATAGTTTTTCTGGCCCTCCCTATATTTTTCTGGTATTTTATTTCAAGTGGTCCATAAATTATATAGTTAACAAAAGCTTCTTTCTCTCCTCAATTACATTACCGTCACAATCTCAGTTCCCCACGCCCTTTCAGCAAACAAATAGATTGTTCCAAAGATCAGTAAATAAACCTCAACTCCTACTACACAACATTCACTAGCTCAAATTAAATAGATTCAATTACAGACACGTAACATACCCATCAGTGGAAACCTTGCTGCTCCCGAATCCAGGGATCAAGTCATCAAAATCCGCGACACCTCGCTCTTTCTTCTCCGAAGGCTTCGATTTACCTAACCCGCCGAGAAGATCATCGAACGCGGCCGGAGTGAGAACGTCGCCGTAGGAGAACTTGGAGGAGCTCTTGAGGCCGGGAACGCCGTCAAAAATGTCTTCGTCGTCGTCATGCATCGGTTTGTCGTAGACCGGTTTGTCATGCGCCGGGAGGTTAACTGACTTGGAGCGGAAATCGGCGGAGCCGCGAAACACGGAGTCGAAGTCATAGGACGCGTCTGACTTGCCACCGCCGCTGAAGAGATCGTCAAAGGAAGCGGCGTTGACGGAGTCGTGACCGGCCAAGGAATTGGAAGCTCGAGCGGACCGCGAACCTAAATCGAAGTTGAGAGAAGATGAATTGTTGGACGAAGCTTTAGGTGCTGCCATTGGCGCCGATTTTCCTTGGGGTTTGAACCCGAAATCGCTGGTTAAGAGACCATCGAAATCGTTCATCGAGAGAGAGAAAGAGAGATCTGGTGTCCGATGGTATCCTCCGCGTACGGTGCTGGATCCGCGGGAGAGTTCGGTGAAGAAAGAACGTCACAGAGGATACAAAAAATGCTACAAACTAACCTGCGTTTCACTTTAACGTCTTTTTTTTTAATTCATTTTTTATTTATTTATTCTTCTTTCATCTTCTGCTTCTTGTTGCTTAATACTGGCTCAGTTAGGTCGTCTTCTTGCTTTGTCTCTTCACTTGTTCTGCTTTTCCAACCGTATTAAAGAATTTGCATCAGAGTATTCCTCAAATTCTGTTTAGTGCTATTTTGGGATCGAATCATGTATGTTATGGATTCTTGTCCGGCCTTCTGATAAAAAAATTTCTCTGCTTTGTCAGTTGATGAAAGAAAGAAAGCATGACACGTTCTTCGGATTTCAAATTTTATATTTTTTCGGTCAATTTTTTTAAATTGAACTCTTCTTCGCATTGATTTTAGAATGACAAATTGGTAGGGCTTGAAAAAGAAATTGAAACAGAGAAAAATCTGTCTTATTATTTGTGTTCTTTCATTTTATCTTTTTACTAGAAAAAAAAAATTCACTAGCTTCGTGTATAAGACATGTGTTTTGGTGTTTTAAACAATTGCGCAAAATAAACAATTTAAAGGTGATGATTGAATTTAAATTTTATTTAATCTTTAATTTGATTAAGTGGTATTTAAAAAGTGTGTATTAGATGATGTGNAACTCTGAACTTGAGCTTTGCAGATAGACTTCACTTCAGAAACAAAGGGCTGTCACTAAGTCAGCGTAAGACAGAGTATGATAGCAACTTTAGCAAGATTGAGAGAAAATGACTTAGTAGTATAATAAATGGGAAAAATGTTATACCTCAGGTTTAAGTTTAAATATTTGGGTTCGAATATTAAAAAATGATGGAGGACGTAATGAAGATGTCACACATAAGAAATAAACAAAAATGGTTAACATGGACAAGGGCATCGAGGGTTAACTATGATTGCAAGGAACCAACCAGCTCAAATTCTTGTTATACTGCTGCGTGTTTGGCTATCTATACTCTAATATTGAATAGCAGGATTAGTAAAATTGAAAATGTTTCAAATGGACGAGTAGTCACAAAATAAAGGATAGGAAATGAAATAATTGTATACAAGTAATAAGGAGACACTGGTGATACTGACTAAAAAAAATAACAAAATATTTGAGGTGGATTGGAGTATTTTTGTTCTCAGATTCTGTTCAATCCTTTCAACCAATAAAATCAGTCTTCAGGTTCCTTCTTACATCCTAACAGAACTTAATCCTCCCAGAGTGTAAGGGTTCTAATAGAGATTTGGATGTTATGGGATGCCTGGGTCCCATCACCTAGTATGGATGCTCAGTTAAGTATTTAAGTATTTGGTTCTCCCCCCTTAATACCTAACTAGGTTCCCTCAGTGTTTGGATGCTTAGCAGGTTCTTAAACTTATGCAGTAATTTAAGTAAATGAATTTATATAAATCACTAATGCTCTATGTGTGAAAATGTTCTGACACAACCCAAGTTTGCCTACCTATAATACCCAATTTGAAAATGTCACGAAAATAAACCACGGAATAAAATAAGTTCATTGGTGGATCTCCCATTTTTCCTGAACTAATTTTTGAGCTTCATTCAACTGTCTACTTTAATGAATGAAGTCAGCAAGTATAACTAACTACACCTTACCTTTCAAACTATGTCGTGAACCCTTAAACGACAACTTGATAGATTACCGTAAAAAGTTGATATCATTCAAACAAATAACCTCAGCCTAATATTTCAAAATACAAAAGACATATAAAGTGTATTTAAGAGGATTAATGCACAACCGACAATCGTCAGCTCCTAGAAATAATACACCTGAGTCCTCATTGTCAAACAGATAGTCTGTGCAAATATAGAAGAAAAATACATAATCAGAAAAAAATAAATAAATATACCCGTTCCTCTCCAAATCAGTCCAGTAATATAGGCATACTTCAGAATATCTACTTCGATTTCAGGCAGTCAAAACGAATTGATAGCAATGTTCGTTCCTATCGGTAGATAAGTAGGCTTGTGAACTACGAGTCTAAATTCTTTTGCAATGAAGACCAGCAAACGAATATCACGGGCAGAGAACTTTTATACTCATGGGTGTGATCTCTAAGTTATGGAATAATTCTAAAGGATGAACTATGAAAAGACACTAGATGATATTCGGATATTCCACATATACACAAACAATCCAAAATCCACACCCAATTGTTTGTCTTCACTGCACAAGTTAATTTAAACACAATCCTAAGACCATTATTATTGTTCTTAAATTACTTAATTCACTAACGGAGCAAGCTAAGAACCAATATTTTTGCAAAAACACTTTTTATACTCCTCGGCATGTTATATTCAATTCAACTATTCAGGAAAGAAGAACTTGAAATGAATTGAAACTCCCTCCCTATAGTTTTTCTGGCCCTCCCTATATTTTTCTGGTATTTTATTTCAAGTGGTCCATAAATTATATAGTTAACAAAAGCTTCTTTCTCTCCTCAATTACATTACCGTCACAATCTCAGTTCCCCACGCCCTTTCAGCAAACAAATAGATTGTTCCAAAGATCAGTAAATAAACCTCAACTCCTACTACACAACATTCACTAGCTCAAATTAAATAGATTCAATTACAGACACGTAACATACCCATCAGTGGAAACCTTGCTGCTCCCGAATCCAGGGATCAAGTCATCAAAATCCGCGACACCTCGCTCTTTCTTCTCCGAAGGCTTCGATTTACCTAACCCGCCGAGAAGATCATCGAACGCGGCCGGAGTGAGAACGTCGCCGTAGGAGAACTTGGAGGAGCTCTTGAGGCCGGGAACGCCGTCAAAAATGTCGTCGTCGTCGTCATGCATCGGTTTGTCGTAGACCGGTTTGTCATGCGCCGGGAGGTTAACTGACTTGGAGCGGAAATCGGCGGAGCCGCGAAACACGGAGTCGAAGTCATAGGACGCGTCTGACTTGCCACCGCCGCTGAAGAGATCGTCAAAGGAAGCGGCGTTGACGGAGTCGTGACCGGCCAAGGAATTGGAAGCTCGAGCGGACCGCGAACCTAAATCGAAGTTGAGAGAAGATGAATTGTTGGACGAAGCTTTAGGTGCTGCCATTGGCGCCGATTTTCCTTGGGGTTTGAACCCGAAATCGCTGGTTAAGAGACCATCGAAATCGTTCATCGAGAGAGAGAAAGAGAGATCTGGTGTCCGATGGTATCCTCCGCGTACGGTGCTGGATCCGCGGGAGAGTTCGGTGAAGAAAGAACGTCACAGAGGATACAAAAAATGCTACAAACTAACCTGCGTTTCACTTTAACGTCTTTTTTTTTAATTCATTTTTTATTTATTTATTCTTCTTTCATCTTCTGCTTCTTGTTGCTTAATACTGGCTCAGTTAGGTCGTCTTCTTGCTTTGTCTCTTCACTTGTTCTGCTTTTCCAACCGTATTAAAGAATTTGCATCAGAGTATTCCTCAAATTCTGTTTAGTGCTATTTTGGGATCGAATCATGTATGTTATGGATTCTTGTCCGGCCTTCTGATAAAAAAATTTCTCTGCTTTGTCAGTTGATGAAAGAAAGAAAGCATGACACGTTCTTCGGATTTCAAATTTTATATTTTTTCGGTCAATTTTTTTAAATTGAACTCTTCTTCGCATTGATTTTAGAATGACAAATTGGTAGGGCTTGAAAAAGAAATTGAAACAGAGAAAAATCTGTCTTATTATTTGTGTTCTTTCATTTTATCTTTTTACTAGAAAAAAAAAATTCACTAGCTTCGTGTATAAGACATGTGTTTTGGTGTTTTAAACAATTGCGCAAAATAAACAATTTAAAGGTGATGATTGAATTTAAATTTTATTTAATCTTTAATTTGATTAAGTGGTATTTAAAAAGTGTGTATTAGATGATGTGGAGTAGTTTGAGTTAAGAATGAGAGTTATGTTTAAGTTTATGAATGGGAATAAACTTTTGATAGTCGTTATTTAAAAATATTAAAATTAAACAAAATCGATACTAAGTTGTTTAAAAATATATTAAATTATTATATTAATTTAGTTTTTGAATTGAATTTTTTAATAGAATTGTTGAACTAAATTAGATTATAACCTATTGTACTAGTAGGGATCGGACGCTAGATAGGTCGGGCGTCTACATTAGACCAAACGCGCTATTCTGGTTCGTCATCGAAGGATCGATGCAACAAATCGGACGCCCACACGTCCGAGATCACGCGATTTTACCTCATCATCCGGCTACACTATGAAGGCCGCTCGGACACGTCGTTTGTTACACATGACGCCCATAGGGGCCGGCCGTGATTTTACCTCATCAGCCGGCTACACTATGAAGGCCGGTCGTACACGTCGTTTGTTACACATGACGCCCATAGGGGTCGGCCGTGATTTTACCTCATCAGCCGGCTACACTATGAAGGCCGGCCGAACACGCCGTTTGTTACACATGACGCCCATAGGGGTCGGCCGATCCAAGAGCCGAACGTAGGAGACCGGCCGGCCATACTGCTAATTAGTCTGATTTAAGGTAAGTGGAGGTTAAAAGCTATTGGGCTGAATTTGGGCCGTGATTAACTTTTCACTAATCCCAAGCCCATAGCGAAAACTATAAATACAGATCCAGGGTGAGTGGTAGATAGGTTGCATTTACTGCACATATTTACTATTCGATAGAAACACGCCATTGCTCTCAACTGACTTTGGCATCGGAGAATCTTTCGCAGGTCTCCCACCCGCGGACTGAAGAGGAAATTGAGGAGCGAGTACGGAGGACCGGACATACAAAGTACGAGTAGAGGAGGACGTGGAGATATTGGATGACACATTCCTACACATCCGAAACACCTATGAAATTATAAAATATACTGTAAAATATAATGTTAATGGATAATAATTCAGACAGTTCAAATAACTCAAGTAATTTAAAATAATATAATTAAATTATGTCCACTCAAATCAAATAATCATATATGTAATTATTATTATATAATTTAATCGTCCCAATTTTTTAAAGAAAATTAGTTTAATTTTACCAGTTTAATTAAGGTATTTTATCAACCATATTCCTAATTGTAAACCCTTCCAACGAGTATCGAGAATAAAATAAGTTGAGGTTTTGAAATTTTTTTAAAACATATATCAATGTGTCTAAGGAAAAGAAAAAGAGTAAAGAGAGTTTAACCTCTCTTTTTTCTATTTTTCATTCTTCTCAAGCACAAAATAGTTTTTTTTGTAAGAATCTCAAATAGATTTCTTATTTATTTTTTGTTTTAATTGGATTCTTTTTTATGTAAGAATCTCAAATAGGTTTTCTACTTATGTTTTGTTTCAATTGGATCCTATTTTTTGCAAAATTGATACAAATAGAACCCTACCATTAAATTGGACCAAAGTTGTTAGATTAATGTGTACGTGGCATGCTGGTGATGTTTTTTTAATGACATGGCATAGGTTATAAAGAATTTATCCGGCCATACTTCAAGGGAACATTGGTCCTAATTTATTGTAATGAGGAAGCAGATTTTGAGAGAGCATGTGATAGTATGACAAGTGTAGAATATTTGAGTTTGCTAAATACATGTGTCTTCTAAAAGTAGAGTCAAATGTCCAAGTTATGAGAGTTTTGTGAACTGAGGTGATTGGGTTGTGATTTTTGCTTGATTCTAGTGTGGGCATGTGTCATATTAAACACTTGATTCTTGCTATATATGATCGACTAATTATGATGATGATACCTTCCTTAAATATGACATAATTTATAAATTATATGGTCTATTATAAGTATACTAGCTTACTTTATTTGATTTGACTTTATGTTTGGTTGATCTGATATGATAATATGTTATATGTGTGAATAAAAGATAATGAAAAAAAGAAATTTTGATCAAGTGAGACTACTTAGCCAAGTTGTATAAATTACATTTATGCATATATATTTTGTATGGTGTACCTTCTCCAACTTTGTTGGCTTTTATTTTCAAAATTTTGCCCAAATAAAAAGCCGTAAATACATAATATATAGCTTATACTTTAATCATACTTAACATTAATTATGTAATACTTTAATTAGTAGTGTGATCATGCCATGGTTATCAAACTCGCAAGTTAACTCATTAACTCGGACGAGCTTGCATTCCTAGTCATGGTTGCCGAGTTAACTCGGTAGTAAACTTGGTTTTCGAATAAACTCGGTAGTAAACTTGGTTTTCGAATAAACTCGGCGAACTCGTAAGCGAACTCAGTGGAATAGTATAAAATCGCGATATTGCAGCGATTTGGCGAGTTTAAAACAGGTAACAACGAAAAAAGAAGTATTTATTTTGAGTTTAGTATTTAATGACCTGATTAGGGTTCCTCTTCTTCGTTGTGCTTCACTCCACCACTGGCTGCGTTCGTGGTCGTCGTTCGTGGTCATTGTTCGTGGTCACTGTTCGTCGTTGTCGTTTGTTGTGTTCTCGTTCGTGGTCACGTGGTCGTGCTCCGGTGGCCTGGTTCGCACTCACTGTCACAGTCGTTATCGTGTGGACGTCTCGTGGTTGCGTCGCACAAACCTAGTTCGCGTATTTTCTATGGTCATATCCAAGTCAACTCTCTTACATTACGTAGAGACTCTCATCATGTTTTTTATTAAAAAAGTATTTTCTATGGTAATGGTGGGTCTCACCATGTTTTCTATTAAAAAATTATTTCTATTAAAAGAATAAACTTTAATGGTTTTATCACATAATGAAATCATTATTTTTTATTGTGTTGTGCGTTTCTCGGAGTCCACTATCATGGTAGGTCTCACCATGTTTTTTATTAAAAAATTATTTTTATTAAAAAAATAAATTCTAATGGTTTTATCAAATAAATGAAATCATTCTTTTTCACTATGTTGTGCATTTCTTGGAGTCCACGACCATGTTTTGTTTTTTAAATTTATAACATCATGTATATCTAAGTTCACTTCTGCCATATCTTTTTTAGTGAAAAAATTTAGAGCATCATGTCTGGAAAGATATCAAATTCAATAGAAACTAATCCAAGTGCATCTTCATTCATTAAAAGTATAAGTAAAAATGCTTCGAGAAACCGATCTTATATTGGATGGAAACATGGGTTTGATATTAACGGTAATTGAAGGAAAGTTAAATGTAACTATTGCTCAAAGATTGTGAGTGAATGTATATTTAGATTTAAGTATCATCTTGCTGGAACCAGTTAGGATTTTTTATTTTTTGCTTCTGTTTCAGATGAAATAAGAAATTTGATGATAAAAATAGTTGTTGAGGCCAAAAATGCTTCATCAAAGAAAAGAAAGATAAATAAAATTGATGAAGATGACGAAGAAAGTGAAAGTATTGAAAGACGACACAAGATATTCAATTTTAAAGAAAAACAAAAAGTTGCTACTACTACCAAGGGGGGAGTTCAAGCAACTATACATCAAATAATGAAAAAAGGATACAAAGAAGAAGTTGATGCTCAAGTGACTGAACTCTTTTACACTAGTGTCATTCCTTTTAGTGTAATTAGAAATCCAGCATTTGCAAAGTTGTGTGAAATGATTGGTAAGTATGGAGTTGGATACAAACCACAATCTTATCATGATATTAGAGAGAAGCTCTTAAAACAAGCTGTGAACAAAACAGATGTAATCCTTGAGGATTATAAGGAGGAATGGAAGACAATTGGATGTACAATTATGTCTAATGGTTGGACGGATAGAAAAAGACGTTCAATTTGAAACTTCTTTGTGAATAGTCATAAAGGGACTGTTTTTCTTTACTCACTTGACACTTCAGACATTTCAAAAACAGTTGATAAAGTTTTCAAAATGTCACTGATAATGCTGCAAATTTCAAGGTAGTTGAAGAGTTGTTGATGCAAAAGGGGGAAAAATTGTATTGGACTCCATGCGCAGCACATTGCATTGATTTGATATTTGAAGATTTTGAAAAAAATTAAAGGTCCATGAATTGACCATTAAGAAGGGAAGAAAGATTACCACTTACATTTATGGAAGATCAATGTTGATTTCCTTGTTAAAATTTTTTACTAAAGGTAGAGACTTGATAAGACCGGATGTGACTAGATTTGCCACGACTTATTTAACTTTTGTTTGTCTTCATGAATTGAAGACATCATTGTTGACCATGTTTAGCTTTGAGGAGTGGAAGACAAGCAAGTTTGGAACTTTACAAGAGGGGAGAAAAGTAGAACATGTGGTACTATATAACTGATTTTGGAAGAATGTCTCCACATGCTTGAAAGATGTTGCCCCTCTTATGGTGGTCTTAAGATTAGTGGACTCAGATGTAAAACCCACAATGGGTTTCATTTATGAAGAGATGGATTATGCAAAAGAGAAGATTAGGTCCAACTTTAACAATATAAAAAAGAGGTAAATTTTCAAACTTTTACTCATTCAAAGTTTAATTACTTATGTGTGAAATTATTTCTGATATAGCATAATTGATGTAGTTATGAAGAGGTTTGGAGAATAATCGATGCTCGATGGGATAATCAACTTCATAGGC